GATATAGTATCTGCCTGAACTTCTTGAAAGGCTGTCGTAATCTACTGTCTGCTTGCCTCAGCCAGCTCTCTGAGCCAGTAGAGAGTAGTCTGATGTAGAAAATGTCCCAAAAACTGCTATGTGATGCATCCATATATGGTGAAAAAAAACTTAAAAAAATTAAGAAAAACGATAAGTTCTTATTACATGACACTGGAAAAAGTACAACAGTACGAATCCATTACCAAAGGAAAGAAATGATTCTATTAATAGAATGCTCCCAGTGTCAATTGGCCATGAGAGTAACGATTATAAAATAATTATATAAGGAATTCTCACTAGATGATTCAAAATCTACAACAAAAGACATTAAATTTTCAATTATCGTCATCTAAATTAATTAATAATTTTATAGCTTAATATTATTAGTACAAATAAAATCACACAAAATATTTACTTAGGGAATATACATCAGAAACCATAAATATGAGAATTTTACAAGATGCGTGATGTAATTAGGCGGGATATCATAAAATATATTCTTTGAGATATATCATATCTTGCATCTAGTCCACATTTATAGGTTGAGCTATCCATAATTTAAAGTTTAGTAATGTACTGAAGCACAAGCATGACCAAAGTGGAGGCAACAAACAGTAGTAGCGGTAGCTTTACTGAAGTGTCGATTGTAAAAAAAACTAGGATATTAATTTTTGGTAAATAGAATAGTTTTTATATTTTAATGTTCAAGGGAAGTTAAAATAACCATATTCAGAGCTTCCTGTCCGTCATTTTATACGTGCACCATTTGGACTAGATGTACTGAAAAAGCTTATAATGCCCTCCGAGTACAAAACAACAACGCATTTAGGGTGCTGATCAGGGATGTTCGCGGAAGCGCGAGTGGATTTATTTTACGCGACTATGTGTAGGAGGGAGGGAGGGGGAGGCATTGGGGGAGGCCTATGTTCAGCAGTGGACTTGTGAAGGGCTGTAATGATGATGATGATGATGTGCAGGAGGTGCGTGCTTCTGGTATGCAGAGTGCGGGGGAGCAACAACAGCATCTTGAAAATGATCGCTGGCAGAGCTTGCTTATACATGTGCTATTGTAGTGTTATATCGGTTGGATTTGTGAGAAAAGAAACACATATAAATATAATATATTTTCTGTTCTCTATATAATGCAATAATTAATACATTTTCTAAACTAGTTATTACTAATACATGAACTCTTCTTATTCTTTAATAATATAGACTGATGCAAATTAATTTGCCATAGAGACAGTAAGTTGCTCCAACTGCTTTTGTCAAAAGATCATATGCATAAATATATTGTTTGGGAAATTGTTGTGTCTTCTTTAGCTCAATTATCGGTAATATAATTAAGCTTAATCCTAAAGTGACCAGGAACGAACATATTTCTTCAGACAATATTCTTGACAATTCGTATATTTCGAATGTAACGTTAGATAATTAAATTGTATTTAATCATAATAAAAATCACATTAGCATAACGCGCACGTACACACGATACGATCTAATCTTACAATTAATCACGGTTTATCAAAAAAATTCTAGTATCCATGGACTTTAATATTTAATAAATGATTTCTTGAACCATTACATCTTCTGATTTAAAAAAAAACATAATTATTCTATTGCAAATGGATTTTTTTAGTGCATGATCCCTAAAGAAATGCAAAATATAATCGGATGGAGATTCAGATTTTGACAAATTACTCCACTCTTTCGCTGTATTACAAACGATAAAGCAAATCGTGTTGTTTATCGAATGTGTTGTATATTGATATGTATGTGAATAATATAATTAAACTTTACTGAACGTCTGGTGAAATGTTGAGATAGGCATTCCTGTGCACACTGCTAAGTGTATTCTAAAATGTACAGAATACAAAGGGACTGTTTAAACTGCACCTTTTCTTGAGACTGACAAGATTAGTTTTAAGCAACTTCTAGTCACCAATAAGCCACTTAGCTTGCTTTTCCACTGACTTCAAAGCTGCAGAATTAGATATTTCGCAGCACTAAATCATAATCTGTAGCACGTTTCATTCACAACAAACAACAAAAAGGACAGGTGTTTCTGCGAGAAGTATCATCGAACCTTTTCAAGCACGCCTATATAGATAGTATAATCATGTATTCTGACCCTAGACTCAAGTTAGGGTCCGCCCGCCAAAAGTTAGGGTTAGAAGAAATCTCAAGAGCCAACAACCGAAGGCAGTCTGTTCCGTTAATGGTATACTCATTTTTGTTTAACATTAAAACGAAATTCTTAAAGACTTCCGAAAGTATTGACTTTTTCCTTACACCTAAAAAGTACACTGCATTTGTAAATAATTTTAAGGTACTCTTTTTAATGGAAAGAAGGTATGCATTTCACCTTAATCGTCAGAGGTGACAACGCAGCTGTTGATACATCAGATATCTATGGACCATAGCGTCCATTTACCACAAAGAGGACTGCGTGTTCGTTTCGCTCCTTATTGCATAAAAAACCGGCCAAAAGCGTCTCGGGCCACGCTCAGTGTAGGGTTCCGTAGTTTCCCGTCCGTCACAATAAGTGTTCCCACTTATGAGTTTAAATATGGGTATCCATTATATTCGCGCTCCAGCAGCGCTCCGCGCTCTTGCAACTGCTCCTGGTAGTGGGTACTGTTGTTTCCATCCAAGTTCAAAATTATTTTCCTAGAAAGTCCTTACAAAGTTCTACTTTTCAGATTTTTTTCATATTTTCTAAACTTATGGTTCAAAAGGTTAGAGGGGGGGGGGGGACATTGTTTTTTAATTTTGGAGCGATTATTTCCGAAATTATTGACATTATCAAAAAATGATTTTTGTAAACCCCTATTCATTTTTAAATACCTTTCCAACAATATATCACACGTTAGGGTTGAAATTAAAAAAAAAATCACTTCCCACTTTACATATAGGGGGGCTACCCTAATAAAACATTTTTTCCAATTTTTATTTTACCACTTTGTCTGCGTGATTGATACACATATTGGTACCAAATTTCAGATTTCTAGTGCTAACGGTCACAGAGATTAAGCGAGGACGGACAGACGGACAGACAGACATGGCGAAACTATAAGGGTTCCTAGTTGGCTACGGAACCCTAAAAAAGGTTACCTAAAAACTAAAATCAGTCTTCTTCTTTGATACTATTTGATCACGATAATGTGTTACCTTTTCATGCAATAAATAAAATCGTACACAATAAAAACGGGTCGGTCACAAAAATAACTTATTTTTATATTTCGTAAAATATATAAATACAAAACAATGCGCACTTTACACAAATATTTTTATTATAAATTTGAAGTGATAAAAAAACTTACAGCCCACCGAATGATAAGCGACAACTACAGCCCACGGGCATCTGCAACCAACGACAGCTAAAAAGAAAGATACAGATGTGTTGCCATTTATGAGGATCGAGATAGAATGCCTGCAGTTATTTTTCGGCAGAAATAAGTAAGAGGATGGGCCATACTCAGACGGTTAGAGACAGAAAAGGAGTTTAATCACCGTCAGTTAAAGAAATATATTTTACTACTTTCCGTTACCGCGACAATACTTCTTAGCTTCTGATGATTTCTTTTTGTTCCCAAGAGTCAAAAAAAAATAAAAGTTAAGTTTTTTTCAATCGCCGAAGAAGCCGTAGCTGCCTACGAAGAAGCGATTTCCGACCTGTCAGATCAAGACTGGCAAAAGAGTTTTCAGAGTTGGTTTAGGTGAATGGAACTTTATATAGAGCAAGATGGAGAATATTTTTAAAAGATGTAAAATAAATATTAATAGTATCTAGAATACTTTTTGCATATCTCAAAACTTATTGAGTGCCCTACGTATACTCTTCAGAACGGAACACAGCAGAGAAGACACTGCTATTCAGCGATACAGGTAAAAGTGTCTCACCTACCCAGACGGTCCCATAAGTAGACAAGAAGTCCTACTACCTAGAAATTCTATAACCTTTACTCTAGTACAAGTATTCGTGAACGTATACAAGTATTTAACACTTATTGGTCACAGCAACACCGGTTTTATAACATCTGAATAGATACTTACACACTTTAATATGAACCTTTTTTTGGACAGATCAAATCAAAAATATTTATTAAATTCCAACCATCACAGCCTATAAAAGTCTACTGTTCAACATAAGCCCTCATAGACAGCTTCTTTGGAGGCAGTCGGGTTGGCAACCAAAGATATTTTATTATTTTGGTTGGCTTACATAAGGAAGATGATGCTGTCCATTGACGACTCCGTGGCGCAGTGGCTTAGCAATGAGTGGCTGCGCTGGGGGTCGCGGGTTCGAATTCCGCACGGAACAAGTATTCGTATGGACTACAAGTAGTTGTTCCGGGTCTGGATGTTCGTCCTTGTGCAATTTATGTTTGTAAACTGCCCCCACAATGCACACTATGCACACTATATATAAAATTATATAAGATCTCAAAAATATATATATATATATATATATATATATATATATATATATATATAAAAAATATATATATATGCATCATACTAAATATCTTATACACATGAACTACTAATTTCATTTTAAAGAAATAAAATATTTTTACTAAAACCGTTTCTACTAAAATTTTATCTGAAAACTAAGGCGAACAATCTAAGTTTTTAGGGCTGAAAACGCATTTTACATTTCAGATTCTAATCGGGGATAAATGCCAATGTCTATAAGACACATCGTCCACATAACATCTAATGTACTGTATGATCGTTTTAATCCTTATTATAAAAATATTAAAAAATCAAAGAAATAGTACTGATACAGTTTTTAAATGTAGGTACTTACGAGTACCTAAGCATTCAAGTTTTCGAAAACATTAGAATTTTATTCACTGACCAGTTTTTATTGCTCGCGAGTGTAAAAAAATAAATCATTTTTAATCAAGATTTTGGAATATATAAAGTAGCGGTTAGCATTGATTAGCGGTAAATAGCACAAGCTACGTAAGAAAATGACAAAATATTTTGTATCGTTCCTGCTTTTAGCAACGCTTGTTTATCAAGGTATTGTATTTCTAATATTTTGCTATAGTATCTACATAAATATTTGAAAATAAAGGAAACTTTAAAAAAACTTTTTATTTTCAGGTTACAGCACAGAAGAGATTTGGCTCGATGAGAGAAATGTAGATTATATCAGTCATGATTACTTGGGAACGTCCATTAGTATCCCAAAATTCTTGTTTGATACTTTGATTACATGCCAAGTCATATTCCCAAATGGTGCCATGTACGAAGCATACCCAAACGATAATATTCCTCATAGCAATATTTTCTTCATGGAGGCAGTTGAGCCATTTGTGTCATGCGCTGTTGGTTTCAGAGGTGTTGGTGTTGAGGCTAGTGGTACCTATGAATTACTATCTTACGTAAAGCATGTAGTAGATAATAGCTTCACACTGACACGACAAAGGTTTAACTTAAATGTCACCGTCTCGGATTTCACAAAGTAGTTTAAGATATCTTCTATATGGAGCACAAATGAGTTTAAATTAATATTTTAGTATTTCTTTGTACCATCTATTTTAATAAATCATTATAATGGTCAACACTTTAGGACTTCATATAAATCTTTATTTCGTATTGAAAATCAATTAATTTTGCTTTACTGCTGTTTCGGAAGATGCCTTTATCGTAGGAACAAATGACATAAGAAAAGCTGGATTTTTAAAGTATTTGTAGTTTACTAATAAAAATGCTAATTTCATATTAGTATTATTTTTAAAGTATTGATTAATAATTGTTAAATATGTATAAACATAGTAGTCTATATTAGACCAGGTTAAAATATTCATGCGACCATTGTAATATTACTTGTACACAAAATAAACGTAATTGTTATTATTACTACTAATATTTAATAACTGTTATCCTTTCCTCTTACATTAACGCACATTAATTTACTCTTATTCAATATTATTTCAAAGTTGTACTCTATACTTGGTTTTTATCGGTTTGATTGCAACAATAACAAATTGCAATAATACTTACATCTTTACTATCAATATAATACCAAGTACATTCCATTCTATTGTACATTAAATAACTTTGTTTTTACTTTAATATCTCTAAAATTAAGAAATGTTTATTTAAAGTCAAAATAAATCTCTGTGTATAAGAGAAAGATTCGAGGATTTTACTAAAAATTAGTTTTAAAATGAATAGTTTTAGTTGGAGTTTTTTTTTCTACCAATATAACCAATATTGGTTATATAGACTAGATTACACTAGATATATTTTTAACTTAGAACATTGATAACAAATTTTTGTTTTTTGACATTAATCAATAGGAAGAGATACGTAAGAGTATGTTGGAACAATTAATGCAAGCCAGTACGTTGAGTATGAAATAAAGATTGGGGGATTTTACTAAAATTAATATTTAAATGGATAGTCTTAGTTGAAAGTTTTCTTTTCTACCAATATTGGTTACAAGATACATTTTATAAAATTAGAACATTGATAAAAAATTTTTGAATATACAAGGAGAATAAATTAAAACTAAACATAGTCAATACCGTCTAGTGGTGTTTAAGAATATTTACTACCTCGTATCGCCTCGTGGGTGTAGTAAGAGGCGATAGAGTGAAACGAACCTCAAAGCGGGTAGTAGGGTCCTCTTTCGACTCGACAATTCATTGCCCGTAAAAAGGGCTTTTGGTTTTCAGTACATAGCACTTATCATTGCAATGGTCCGTGGTAGCTGAGCGCTTGTTGTAAATTTTACAGTAGGTACGCGAGCAACCGGGGTTTGTTCCCCGCCAGCATCAACAAAATTGTTAATTGCTATTTTAAGTTCTTATTTACCTAGCGCTCGGTGAAGAGATAACAACGCGGAGAAACCTGCAAGTTTCTCTTATAAAAAAAACTTTCGATACTATGTTAAGTTTTTGAACATGCTTTGGGGAGGAGCGGCAGAGATTTCCTTATCCTAAGACTCTCTCAAAAAGGATAGAAGGCCTGTGCCTAGCACTGGCAACCTATATACGTCATGGGCTTGTAACTTTTCATCGTTTTTTTTTTGTAGGACAAGGGTGACAAACGATCACACAGTCTAACTTACGGTAAGTGTTTACTGTAGCTCATAGACGTTTACATCTATCCTCCATTACGAATGAAAATGCAGATGCGTTGTTACCCGTGAGGACTAAGATGGAATGCATCCTGTCCAGTAAGAAGGGTCTCCGGCTCTCTACACTCACAACACAAAATAGAAGCGTTAAGCTGCTATTTTACGCTGGTATTCTGTGAGAACGTGGTTCTTCCCCGGTCGAGCAAACCCATTTGTGCTACAGTTATATTGCTAATATAGATGGAGCATGGCTCTTCTATGTAAAAAGTTGTAATTATGTTCTAATAAATGAGAGTTACGTATACAGAGTAATATCAAATGAAAACAAAAGAAAATGCTAATGAGTTTGCTTTAATTTGTTATTAATCTCCAAACTTAGAAGGTTTATACATTATTCGCAATGTTTGGATTAAGAAGAGAGATAAAACTTGTTCTTAACATAAATTCAGTCAAAAAACTGCTTGTGACTGTACGTTGTATGTAAATAGCCAGTTATTATTATTTATGTATATTGACGTACACCGAAATAAAAAGAATCAAGAATTACAAACAATGTACGATGTGATGACACAATATACGCTATCAAGAATCCGAGGTTGATTAATTAAAAATGCTCTAGTCGTCTGATTCCCAAATAAGTACTTATTTTAACGCACGCCCACACATTGCGCACTGAAATCACAGGAATTTCAACTAATATCTCAGCATTATGTGGGTACAAATTAACTCTTTTATATTGTTGGGTATTCCTTTTTTTTTCATTTCAATCTTTTTATACATACAGAGTATATTAAATACATGTTAATTAGCATGATATTAGTTTGCAATCCTAATAATCAAAATAACTTTCTTAAATATAAACCATTTTGTGCTGCTGTGTGAGAATGATAGAGATAATAATGCTTTAAAGTGACTGTATAGCACACTCTATCTCTCCATTTAAAATCAGGAAAGGGCGGAGACTATCAAATTTGTAACAGTTGAAACAATCTGGAGCTACGCCTGTGATGTATTATCAAAGATTTGAATAAAGTAAAATGCAATCCTTAAACAAACAAAATAAGGAAATTAAAATAATGGAGACCTAATATTCAAATTCACGATCAAGCTAAAATATAAGAAATTAGTGCCTGGTATTGGCTTAAACGAACAAATTTTAAGTAAAACTAAATTAACAAGATAAGAAATAACGAATGAGAGTTTTTCATGCTATTTGCCGTACATGAAATATAAAGTGCACAAGAGGTCCTTTTAAATCTTCACACAGCAGACGGAAATTGCGTTCGCCAATCAAAGTCTTAAATTTTTTTCAAAAACATAAAAAGTTTCAAATTTCCTTATTTATCGTGTTCAAATTTCCTTTAAATTTGGTATTAAAATTTTACATTTTCAATTAATATTTATATTCAAATTGCCTAATTTACTAAATTATCTTAAATTCAAACAAAATTTAAATCACAATATTGTGTTACGCTTATTGTTACATTTGTCAACATTTCTCTTCGTTAGCTGGCAAATGAGTGCGAAGTGAGTTGAATTTATTTGTAGGGTTACACGTGTCCCATAAAGTTAAATCATGACTCTGACATATTTAGCTACTAAAAGTACAGATAAGCAGTACTCGTACGAATACTCATTTTACCGTCAAACAAGTCATATTATTGGAATAATTTCTTATTTCATTAAAAAATTATTTTATTTTGCCAAATATTGTTTGTCAGTGAAAGTAACGTCAGTTAGCTATTTCAAAAAGTGTTTTCGATAAAGTTCAAAGTAACAAATCAACTTGACCAAAAGAAAACAATGTATCGAATGAACGTGATGGTTAACTGATTAATTAGTAATTTTTTACTCAGCTAACGGATAAGGTATGTTAATTTATTATTCCGGTTTCATGTATTTAAAAATTTAAATATTCACTAGGTGTAGCCTATTATTGTTGATATAACTTAGCTGTATTTGACCTTGTTGCGTTTCCTGTTTTAAATAATCATAAACAACTAATAATAGCGTCTTTAACTTTAATATCTCCAGGCTTACAAAGCTTGTGTTAGAACCAACATTCGTCAAATGGTGGATTATCATCCACAACTTAAATTGTACGTGCATTAACATCCCGAACCCAATCAATTATTTTTGTTTTAATTAATAAAAAATTGCTCAATTCGAACCCCTGCCCGCAGCGCCCCATTCAAATACTCAGCTTCTGTGCTACACATCCAAATACTTAAATAAAATTCTCAAACAAAATATTTAAGAGGTGTTTACTTACTTTCTTACTCGCAATTGTTTTTTTTATATAGGATAAGGGTGACAAACGAGCACACAGTCTACTTGATGGTAAGTGGATGCTGTGGCCCACAGACATCTACATCTATACTCGATTAAGAATCAAAATGCAGAAGCATTTTGATTCTTAATCTTCTTAATCAAGAAACAGCAACGGTGACCCGTTGATGACTAAGATAGAATGCCTCGATTCCAGTAAAACGGAAAAAAATCAATAACAAAATTAAGCAAAATCCAAAACGAAACACCTGTACATTCTTTACGTGTATTTAGTTAACAAGCAAGCCACTTGCCTTAAAAGCCGGAGCAGATCGGCTACGTACGTAATACATGAATGTGACTAGTTCATTAAAGCAACAAAAGAAAAACTGCACACTCACTCGCAAAGCTGCGGTCAATCTACATCGTTCTTCAATTGTTTGTCTATCGAATGAAAAGTAGGGAACTTCCACCGGAGAAGGTGTTCCATGCGGGGAGCGGCTAACGCTCCTTAAATTAATACAAATACCAGTCTTATTTATAACTATGAAGTCTTGCCAAGATCTTTTTTCTGAATTCAAATTTGGAATGCGTTTACTACGTATGGAATTAAATCTTGGCCTGGCTTATGTAACAAAAGTAGAATACATAATACATTACTACATAATACATTACCCTTACTTAATCACGCTTGGAAACTACAAATCATGGCTACAATTCTGCTTGAATGTGTTCACCCATTTATTTAAATATAAAATGCTCCATGATACAGAAGAAATAAAAATTGAACGTTTCAGCCAATTGCATTTCCCGATTGTAATATTGTCATAAACATTTAAAAAATAACTTTATTTCTGCCTCCACACTCTTATTAAAAATTTATATTGTTTTTGTAACAAATAGTAGCATTTATCGGATACATACTAAAAGATGGCGATTACAAATATACCTATATAATGTGGTATTTAGGGCGGGGGTTAGTCTACTTCTAACTTTTGATATTATAAATAGGACTAGATTAACACCTATTCTGCTCTCCTGTCCGGCGAGCAGTTTTAGCGTATGGCTCTGGGGGAGAGCGCAGGTCGTGTCGATCCCCAGGGCAAGTCTGAG